GAGGGAGAGGCTGCTGCTGCTGCCCCTGCTCCGTCCTCTGCAATCAGTGTCCCCCTTGGCGCAGCTCCTTGCCACCTGCTGGAAGGGCGGGTGGGAGGAGGAGGAAGGGGGGTGCGAAGAGAGAGGAATGAGTGAGTGACAGAGCAGGAGGTGGGGAAAGGGCAAGAGTGTCGTGGACTGAAAGAGATGCAAGAAGGATGGCAATGTGACAGCATGGCTGCTTGCAGTGGGTATGTGCGACGTGGGATGGGAATGGATGCATGCATGCAGCGACTACTGGCAGAGCGGCCGGCGGCACACCCAAGGGACCATACCATACCTGCAAATACCTGACACCTGGCACCTGGGGGAGGGTCCCTGGATGAGCCACGTGGCGAGCCGAGCCAGCAACGGAAAACGACAAGCGAGCGAGCGAGTGTGGGCGTGGACGAATGCGGATTGAAGGTGGAGTGGAACGAATGATGCTGAGGCAAGGAGCGAGGAGTGCGGGGTACTTATCCTCAGTGGACGGCTGGTGGGGCGTGCAGAGCAGGCTGAAGGGCGATGCGCTGCTGCCGCTCCTCCCCTCTGTTCCTCTGCCGCCTGCTGCCGCCTCTGCTGCTCTCCTGGCGGGCGCATGGCACATACCCCCCCCCAGCAGCACCTGAGGGATCCGGGGTTGGGGGATGGGGTGGGGGGATGAGTGGGGTGAGTGGGGTGGATATGGAGGGTGAGAAAGGACTGGCATGTAGGCCGGATAGCAAGGAACCATGATGAAAGCGTGCAGCGAGTGAAAGCAAGCCGGCGGCTCACCCAAGGGACCATACCATACCTGAGGCTTGCACGTACCTGATACCTGGCACCTGGGGGAAGGTCCCCGGATGGGCCACGTGGCAGCCTGTGGAAGGAGCAGTGAGGGCGGGAATGGGTGCGGATGGCAATCAAATGGCGCTGTGACAGGCGGTGAGGAGTGAGGGGTACTTATCCTCAGTGGACGGCTGGCGGGGCCATGCTGAGCTGGCAGAAGGGCGAAGCCCACGCGCGCTGCAGGTGCTGCTCCTATCCTCTGCTCTCTGCGGCCCTCTACTGCCTGCATCCTGAAGCGAGCGCGGCACCACAACTCCCCCCAGCAGCACCTGAAGGACCGGGTTAGCGGATGGGGAGGGGTGGGTGGGAAGGGAAATGAGTGGGATGGGAGGGGAGGGTGGGATGAGTGCAAAACGACTGCCATGTGCGAGGGAACTCAGATTGCGGAAAGCTCGATGAAAGCATGCAATGGATGACGGGTGAAGGCAGCAAGCCGGCGGCTCACCCGAGGGACCATACCGTACCTGACACCTGGCACCTGACTGTTGTGTGATGTCATCATATGCTATCACATTCTGTCTGCCTCCCATCCCATGTTTTTTCAACTTGCATGTGTGGTTTGAATGTGCAAGCATTTGTGTGTGGTGTGTTCTGGAGTTTGGGAATGTGTTTTGTGTTATTCTGTCTGAGCAGGTATTTGTGATAATAGATCTTGAGAAGATCTTTCCGACGCAACAAGAATCGCTTCAATCGGAGCAAGAACGCGAAAGCTATGAAGATTCAAAGTTCATGAGCTTGCGTTACAATTGCGGCGGTTACTAAGTGAAGTTGTGGGGTGACTTTATATGGAGTTGGGACCTTTGGGGTTGGGGAAACTTGTCACTCTACTGTAACAGCTGCAAATTGGTTGGGAACAACCAAGCTAGGTTGGCAAGGGTGGCCAACTTGGATGGATTGGTTGGGAAGGGACAAATGTCAAAGTTGGGGTTCCTATAGGGAGGGAATCTTTGTGCTTATGGGGTTTCCTTGGTTGGGGACTCTCTTGGGACCTTCCCTCTCATCCCTCTCTTCCTATCCCAACCTTTCTCTTGCTCCTTCTAATTCCTTGTGAGATTCTTGAACTTTGATTGAACTCTTGAGATTGAGTTAAGTTCTCCTCCTACAGCTTACCCCCTAGTGCGTCGAAAGCCATAGCGTCGCGAATACTTCATCAATCAACGTGATTCAAATTGGGAACGGTAGCTGAGATCAAGAGCTACAACATATCCAAGTTTCGCGACATTCCAACGGCTAGTGTTTTGTCGACGTCGTTTCTTGTGAAGACGACTTTTCTGTCCAGAATTTCGGATTTATATTTTGAGTAATTCTAGCTCCTAAGTTCACCTAGACTCTGTCCTTAATCCTAACAAGTGGTATCAGAGCGATATTAAGGACATTGAGAGGAGTCTACAGAAGTGTGAAGACCCTTCTAGACCCACCATGGCCTGTGGGTGTGCCTAAGTGGTGTTCTAAAGGTTGGATGTGTCTTCCGCTAAGGGGAAACTCTGCCGAAATTTCGTGGACGCCGACACTTGTGAAAATATCGAGGGAGCTGAGTGTGGACAGCAAAGGGGAGCTGAAATTCGTCATTTCTCAAGGAGAAGATGAATGAGAGAGGAGGAGATGCTAATGGAAGAGGAGCTGTAGCTGAGAAGACAAGTGAGCCGCCGCCATCAAAAGTTGAAGCTTTGGATGGCTCCAACTATGAGGAATGGAGCGGACGGATGAGGAGTGCCTTCAAACGCTACAAGCTCCTGAAGATTGCTGTTGGGGAAGAGAAGATGCCGGAAGAAGGCGAAGCACGTGAACGGTGGATTGAGAAAAGCGCGGTGCTTTTCGACCTCATTCTTCAATCGGTCAACAAGGAGATGTTCGAGCACATCAAGGATCTTGTGGAAGCGGATGATTCGGGTCCAAGGGCGTGGAAACTACTACGTGATGTGGTTCAGCCCAACACTCTCCTGATGGTGATCGTGCTCGAGAAGGAACTTGCTGCCATCTCCATGCGACCAGGGGACGATGTGAAGCCGGTCCTTGACAAGATCAAGGACACCTATGCAAGGATGGCAGCAGCGGGCAGCAGTGTATCTCAGCTGCAGCAGTGCACCAAGATCATCTCGGTGTTGGACAACTCTTGGGACAACCTCATCCCCACCCTCAACTCTCAACAAGATCAATGGACACCTGAGTGGCTAAGGCAGCAGATTCTGCAGGAGGACTTCCGCAGACGCCATGTGGGAGGCGGTGCTGCCACTAAGACTGCTGAGGGGTATGGAGCTGCAGGGCGCGGCAGAGGAAGAGGGGGTTGGAGAGGCCGAGGCCGTGGGAGGAGCTTTGGCAGAGGTAGAGGCCGAGGTGACTATAATGAGGGGCATGGGAGCTCTAGTGGCAGGGGGAGTACCAGAATGGAGGGCACCTGCTGGTACTGCAAGAAGATAGGGCATCCTTGGTTCAAGTGCTTCAGCAGGCCGGAGGGATGGGCACCTCCAGGCATGAAGCCACCCAGTGGTGAACGCGCACAAGGTGGCGCTGTGCAAGGCTCAGGTGCACAAGGTGAAGGTGCACAAGGTAATGCCTATCCTGGTTTGTTTCTTATGGTTGAGGATGTGCATGGGCATGAGGGTGATGTGGGATTTGTGGGAAAGGTTGTGATGCACCCTCTCACGCACTGGGTGATTGATTCGGGTTGCACCAGTCACATGACCCACGGGCAGATTTGCTTGATGAGGTAAAACCCCCTGGGAAGATTAAGTATGTGGCAGCAGCGTCAGGTGCTTTGCTCCCCGTGATTGGTGTTGGGAATGCCAAGGTTAAGGGAGCTAATGGGGAGCTTGTGGGGCTTGGGAATGTTCTGCTGGTTAAAGGCTTGTCTGCTAACCTTCTCTCTGTGCGGCGGCTGCAGAAGAGTAAGGCCGAAGTGACCTTTGGACCAACCAGCTGCCGTGCTAAGCTTGGGAAGAAGGTGCTGTGGAGTCTGGAAGAGGAGACCAGCTGCATCAAGGACCTGTGGCAGCTGCCCATCATCCCTTGGAATGGGAAGACTCCAACAGCAGCAACGGCAGCAGTGGCAAAGGCAACAGCAGGAGGAGATGCAACTGCACCAACTGATGGGGTGCTGGAAGCAGTCAAGAAAGTGCAGAAGCAGCAGACACATGGTGAGGTGCTTGCTGGTGTGGATGCGAGTGCGGCATGGGCTAAGGCTTCACCAAGGAGTGGAGAGGCCGATTGGGAGACATGGCATGAGAGGCTGTGTCATGTGAACTTCCCTATGCTGCAGAAGTTGGTGAAGGAATGGGAGCCTGAAGGGCTTGGAGGTGAAAGGGGGAAGTGAAGGAGATTGGGAGCTGCCCTACATGCTTGGAGACCAAGTTCTCCAAGTTCCCCTTCAACAGGCATACAGGACCAGCCAAGACCCCACTTGCACTTGTGCACATGGATGTGGTGGGGCCCACAAGAGCCCCTTCCCTCTCAGGCAGCCGCTATTTCTTGACAATTGTGGATGACCACACTCGGGCAGTGTGGGTTTACCCTTTGAAGAGCAAGGGGGAGGTGGCAGCGGCTGTCCTTAAGGAGTGGATGCCTAGAGCTCAGAGGGAATGCGGACACAAGGTGAAGGTGATCCGCAGTGACAATGGTGGGGAGTTCATTGGAGCTGATTTTGAGGGGGAGTTGAAGAGGAAGGGGATCCAGCATCAACTGACAGTGCCCTACAACCCGCAGCAGAATGGCGTGGCTGAGAGGTTCAACAGGACCCTGCAGGAGGGGGCACGCACTCTCCTTGGGCGTGCAGGGCTGCCTGATCCGTTTTGGGTGTCTGCACTGAGGCAGGTCGCCCTTGTGAAGAACAGGGTGCTGGCTACAGTTGGAGATAAGGAGTGGATCCCATATGCAAGTGGTATGGGAGTGCTCCAGCGGTGAACATGCTGAGGGCATTTGGGTGCATGGTGGTGTTTCATGTGCCCAAGGAGAAAAGGGGGAAGTTGGAGGCTTCTGGAAGATGGGGTGTGCACTTGGGGATTGCAAAGGATCACAAGGGGTGGCTGCTATGGGACTTGACCACCCAGAAGTTGACAGTGTCAAGGGATGTGAAGTTTCTTGAGTCCCTGTACTACAAGGAATGGAAGCAGCAGCAACAGAAGCTTCCATCTACACCGCTCATTGTGGAGGCAGATGAGGTGCAGCAGCCTTCAAGACAGGTGGAGGTTGCAGTGTCAGAGGAGGAGATGTCTGGGGTGACTGAGGAAGGGGGAGCAGCTGAAGTAGAGCAGCAGCAGCAGCAGCAGCATGAGTCTCCACCTCGAGTTCCACACCCGCCTGAGCGTCCTAGGAGGGATGTGCGCCCTCCTGTGAGGCTGACCTATGGGGGAAGAGGCAAGCCGAATGTGGTGCAGGCTGGGAGTGTGGTTGAGCAGATTGAGGAAGATGAGATCGCTCACTGCTACTGGGCACCAATCCCTGAGTACATGGCCTTACACCATGGGGCCAAGGAAGTAGTGTGGCTAAGGCGTTTGTTGGAGGAGTTGGGAGTTGGTCAGGAGAAGCCGACAGTTGTGTTTTGTGACAATGAGTCCGCTGTGAAGCTCGCCAAGAATGCTTGTCTGCATGGGCTGACAAAACACATAAGGCCTAAGTGGCATTGGGTGAGGAGAATCCTTGATAAGGAGGTGCGGCTGGAGATAGTGAAGACCCATCAGCAGGCAGCAGATATTTTCACTAAGCGTCTGGCGGAGGCGGATCATTGGAAGGGCATGAAGCTTGCTGGGATGAGTGTGCATTGAGTATGCATGCTTGAGATGTGGTATGGTCGATGATGGTTGGCAGCCAGAGGGGGAGATTGTTGTGTGATGTCATCATATGCTATCACATTCTGTCTGCCTCCCATCCCATGTTTTTCAACTTGCATGTGTGGTTTGAATGTGACAAGAATTTGTGTGTGGTGTGTTCTGGAGTTTGGGAATGTGTTCTGTGTTATTTTTGTTTGAGCAGGTATTTTGATGATAGATCTTGAGAAGATCTTTCCGACGCAACAAGAATCGCTTCAATCGGAGCAAGAACGCGAAAGCTATGAAGATTCAAAGTTCATGAGCTTGCGTTACAATTGCGGCGGTTACAAAGTGAAGTTGTGGGGTGACTCTATATGGAGTTGGGACCTTTGGGGTTGGGGAAATTTGTCACTCTACTGTAACAGCTGCAAATTGGTTGGGAACAACCAAGCTAGGTTGGCAAGGGTGGCCAACTTGGATGGATTGGTTGGGAAGGGACAAAGGTCAAAGTTGGGGTTCCTATAGGGAGGGAATCTTTGTGCTTATGGGGTTTCCTTGGTTGGGGACTCTCTTGGGACCTTCCCTCTCGTCCCTCTCTTCTATCCCAACCTTTCTCTTGCTCTCTAATTCCTTGTGAGATTCTTGAACTTTGATTGAACTCTTGAGATTGAGTTAAGTTCTCCTCCTACAGCTTACCCCCTAGTGCGTCGAAAGCCATAGCGTCGCGAATACTTCATCAATCAACGTGATTCAAATTGGGAACGGTAGCTGAGATCAAGAGCTACAACATATCCAAGTTTCGCGACATTCCAACGGCTAGTGTTTTGTCGACGTCGTTTCTTGTGAAGACGACTTTTCTGTCCAGAATTTCGGATTTATATTTTGAGTAATTCTAGCTCCTAAGTTCACCTAGACTCTGTCCTTAATCCTAACAAATCGACGATCTAGGACGGGCTACATCTACCGACTAGAACCCATCGGAACTATCTCCTGGCAGTCGAGCAAGCAGGAGTTAATCGCACTATCCTCGCTGAAGCAGAGTATCGCCCTTTGTACTGCGACCAAGGAAGGACTCTACCTGCGAGAGTTACTCGAGGAAGCGAAGATCGCGACCCTGCCCGCCTTCTCACTCTCTGCGACAACCAATCTGCGATCAAAATCGCAAACAAGGACGGCTTCGCCAACCGAACCAAGCACATCGCCCTGCGGTACTTCTTCGTCAAGGATGAAATCGCGAAGGGGAGACTTCAACTCAGTTACTGCCCGACGACAGAAATGGCCGCAGACTATTTGACGAAGAAATTGGCGAAGGCAAAATTCGACTACTGCATGCTGCTGACCGGACAAACAAACGTCACGGACCTGAACAAGTCAGCACTCCAGAAACGAAGGGGAGTGTTGAAATACTCAAAAGACTTAAGCGTTTCTGAAGTGTAACACTACACTCGAGGAAGATTGCAAGGGGTACGCGAGTCAACGGAGGTTACACGAGGGGGCGGACAAAGAACACGAAGGACTCAAAGGGTCGCAACTGGAGGTTGCGACTGACCGTTACAAGCATCACGGATGGTAACCGAAGCGGCAATCGAGTCGCTGTGCGACTCGATAAACCGTTCCTGTAACTGTACTCTACAACTGCTTTCTTTCTTCTATATATTGCTGTATGCTTGTTTCTTTAATCAATCACTTGTTCTCACATACTAGTACAAGGGTTCAACTGTCTCAACTTCCGCTGCACTACTCCAAGTCTCAAGTCTCTACAAGCTGGGACTTAGTCTCTGCAAAAGATCCTAAGGGCTTTTCTCAGCCCAACATGGTATGAGAGCTGGTCAGAGACCAAACTCCCAGCAACTACGTCCATCAACAACCTGCAACTCAACTCAATTCAACGACTTCATTGATTACAAGACATGGACAACAAGGGCAAGAAAGTCTCTACGGGCTCACCCAGCGCCCAAGAAACTCAACACGGCAACTCTGGTCTGCACACCTCAGGACTGCAGACAGAGACCGGGACTGCTCAAGAAACAACGGGAAGAGTACCAGAGATGGTGACTCCGTCTCCCTCTTCAAGTGTGGACCCGAATCTCATGGAGAGATTCTTCAGCTTCATGTCACACTTCGACCAGCAGCAGCAGACAAGGACACCTGCGCACTCAACACAGAGCAATGGAGGGAATATGGGATTAGCGCCGATGAGCCTCGACAACTCATCCTTCGGGCGACACAATCAAGCGCCTACCTTTGCGCCTTATCATTCTTCACCGGGGACGTTCGAATTCATGCCGCCCCGTGCCCAGCCAACAGCAGCTGCATCACAACAAACACCGAATGAAATCTTAAGTCTTACAGGCGCAGTTCTCACACGTGATCAAACTTAGACATCCTCACCGTTCAACGGACACGACTTCTTTACCTGGAGCTTCGAGTTCGAGCTGCTGATGGAGGCCGCGCATCTTCTGGGATACTTCAACGGGTCCCTGCCATTCCCAAGCAACGGCACTGGAAGGAACAAGAGATCTTCACGTATCAGTCGCTGCTGGCGTACACGGTACTCCTGAGAAACCTGTCACCACAAGAGCAGCAGAGCATCAGAACGTATCGGAGTTATGGAAACTCCGCGGAGCTCGCATGGCACCACTCAAGTGCCTTTACCAAGCAAACGACAGCGTGACACAAAGCAGACTCATGCAACAGCTGACAACAATACAGATGAAGACCGGGGAAAAGGCGATGCAGTATATGAGTCGCTGCCAGACCCTCCGCGACCGCCTGCTTCGGTGCGGAGGAACGATCACTGAAGAAAGCTTCGTGACACTTGTCCTCGCCGGGCTCGGGCCAGAATGGAGAACCACACGATCACTTCTTCGAGCCCACGGAAGAATTTCGGAGATGCACCTCTGCGCCGAGCTTCACGCTGAACAACAGGAGATGGATCTGTTCGAGGAAAGACAACCAAGGAAGCAACAGCAGTTAGTCTTCTACACTCAAAGAAGAAATGACAACAACTACAACCGACGCAGCAAGCAAGATCAACGCGACAACCGAGGACTCACCATCGTGCCGCCGTTCTGCCACAACTGTCAGACTTCCGGGCACTCCAAGGTCAACTGCAACCGCCCTCGCGTTTACCGTGCAGCAGACCCACAAGTCGCTTCCACTCAAGCAAGTCCTCCAAGGCGCTCTTCAACATCTGCACAACAAACACCAACATCATCAACTGCATGGTACACATCGACAACTGCGCACCCGCTTCACCACCCACTTACGCACCAGACGAAGAGGAATTCCCGCCGCCGCGCTCGCAAGGACTTCAGGTCAACCCGACATACGCTGCAGTCGCCAACGCCGAACCCACCGGGCGAAACACCTGGTTCTTGGACAGCTGCTGCGGTCAACACATGTGCTCCTCGGACGCTTCGTGCAACAGAGCGACGCCTCAACCGCGACGTCGTCATCACCGTCGCCAACAACGAAAACCTGAAACAAACAGACAAGGCGTGGTTCAGTTACAATCAATGGAGACAAACGTTACTTCAGCTCAACAAAGGTCTCATCGTCGACAATCTGGGATACAACCTACTAAGCGTAAGCCAACTAATGGCCAAGGGATTCACCTGGAGTGCGACTCCTTCTCCAACGAGTTCCGCTTTACCACGGGAAGGGCGGCCTCTTCATCGGTCGTGCCCTCCTGAAGTCCGGTGTCTTCGTGTTGGACTTCGTCCCCGACCGCGGAACTGCCGACAGCGACGGTATCGTATCGTTCGCCGCCTGGACTCACCGCCGATCTTGATCCCGACTTCGACAGTGACGGCTTCTGGCACTCCAACACCATACCTGCAGCAGAGAGAACACGAGCATTAGCAGTTATCAGACAAGAAAGACAAGTACCCGCAAGTGTCCCAACAAAACCATCACCTGCAGTATCGGCAGCAGGACCCAGCCGAGTACCACCACCAGCGACACGAGGACCGCCAACCGAAGCAGACCAACTTATGCCCCCACACGAGAAGCTTGTCGAAGTCCCGCCTCGTCGTCGCGTTCTTCTCCAACGCCGACATCTACCACCGCTCGCCCGGTCACCGCGCTCCCGACGACATCTGGCACCAACGCTCGGACACCCTGCAAACAGCACGATACTTCAAACAATCCAAGCAGAGTGTTAGAACGCAACGCCCTTCTGACGACGAGCGGCCAAGAACTTCGACGACCACGCGCACGGTGCTTCACATGCCCCGAAGCAGATCTTCCTCATCAACCTTTCCATCCCATCACAACCCAAGCGCACCCACTTACGCTCCGATGGAAAAAGTCTACAGCGATATTTTAAACATGCCTCGAGACGACACGAAGCCGACTTCAACTACGTCATCACGTTCATCGACGCCGCAACCAGATACGTCTGGCACTTCAATCTCAAAACGCGCGATCAAGCCTTCGAGCCTTCACACATGGCTTCCCATCGCCGAACGAGAATCAGGAACCAAACTCAAGAGCTTCCAGTCAGACGGTGCACTGGAATACCAGTCACAACGCTTCAGGACCTATCTGGCGGAAAGGGAATCAGACGCCTGGTGTCCCTGCCCTATGCTCACCAGCAGCAGGGGGTAGCAGAACGCATGAACCGGACCTTGCAGACGACGATGCGAAAACTGCTTCTGGGGATGAGGCTGCCCAACCACTGTGGCCAGACGCGATGACACATGCAGTCCACCTGCACAACCTGTTGTCCTCGTCATCGCTTCCCAACAACGCATCACCGCACCTGCTGTGGACGAAAAAGGGGCAGCACAAAATTACTTCGAGTTTTCGGCTGCATGGTACAGTACAGACCCCACACAGCCGAGCAGGACGCTTCACACTCAACGAGCTCGGTGGGGACTACACCTCGGCATCGCAAACATTTTCACGCGTGGAAAATCTCGACATACAAGACAAAAATACGTGGCATCACGTGATGTTATCTTCTACGAGCGACTGACGCTGCAGCATTACCTGGACAACATTGCCAACACAACGACCCCACCGACGGCTTCGCGGGCTTCGCTCCTTCGCCGACCGTGCTGCCGAAGCTGACGCAGCAGAAGAAGACGTACCTGGAGCCTCGGAAGCTGCCGGACCACTCCCATTCTGTTCCGTACCTGTTCCACTCGATGAAGATAATCCCCTCGATAGCAACAACCTCGACACCTTTTACCACTTCGCTGACCAAGGTTACGCTACACCCACCCGTCGACACGAATATTTCGAACGCATCGGCCCCAATTCTTACCTGACCCGAAGACGGTGACGAAGCAGCTTATTCCGGGAATGAAAATTCCCCTCGACACACACCCACGGGACTGCAGATTCTAGGCCTCTGGGTCTCCGTCCAGCATCCGCCGCCGCCTTCTCGCGCGAGCCTTCACCTGTCGCAGGCTCTGGGGGGGAACATAAGGCAAAATGGAAAGAAGCGATGGAAAAGAGTTAAAAGCTCTGCAAGACCGAGAAACATGGAAACTGGTACCTGCAACGAGCATCAACGGGAAAAACGTTCTCTCGGGGAAATGGGTGTACCGCAATCAGACCAACTCAGACGGCTCCATCGAACGATTCAAAGCTCGATGGGTCGTACGAGGCTTCGATCAACGATACGGAACCGACTACACAGAAACCTTCGCTCCAGTCTCCCGTCACACCTCATTACGCATCCTACTCGCCGTCGCGGCCACGAAACACTACCACTACGCCAAATCGATGTCGCGAATGCGTTCCTATACGCACCTGTGGACGCTGAGATCTTCGTCGAACAACCCACGGATTCATCGACGACCCCACGAAATATGCCGACTGACAAAATCCCTATACGGGATCAAGCAAGCCCCGCGGCTCTGGCAGCAGCATCTTCACGGCCGTCTCGTAAAATCGGCTTCCTACAGCTACCACATGACCAAGGATGTACGACTGCAGAAGGGAAGAGAGTTACATTCTGCTCATCGTCTACGTCGACGACCTGCTCTACATCGGTTCTACACCGACATCGTCACCGGTTCGAAGGGGAGCTGAAAGGGACTGACGCTCACAGTGTCCGACTCAGTGACCCAGTACTTGGGGCTAAATATCGTCGAAGACAACTCGGCGTTCTACCTACACGCTGGAAAGTACGCAGGCACTGTCGCGAAGAAATTCGGACTAACGCCGCTACCGCCGTCACTCCCTAACCGCTACGGAAACAACAACAGCGCCTCCGCAAAACTCCCCGCGAAGCAAATCCAGGAGTATCAACAGAAGCTCGGCTGCCTACTATTTGCAGCAGTAACCTGCGACCGACCTGTCCTATAGTGCAAGTCAACTGGCGACGCATCTGAAGCAACCGGAACAGGAGGATCTCGAGGAGCTCAACCGGGCACTACTCTACTTCATCTCCACGCCGACGATCGGACTTACCTACAGCAAAGCTACAACATCGTCCGTACACTACTCGGATACGTCGACGCCGACCACGCGGGAGAAGGGAAAATCGACGTCTAGGACGGGCTACATCTACCGACTAGAGACCCATCGGAACTATCTCCTGGCAGTCGAGCAAGCAGGAGTTAATCGCACTATTCCTCGCTGAAGCAGAGTTACATCGCCCTTTGTACCGGCGACCAAGGAGGACTCTACCTGCGAGAGTTACTCGAGGAAGCGAAGATCGCGACCCTGCCCCGCCTTCTCACTCTCTTGCGACAACCAATCGCGATCAAAATCGCGAACAAGGACGGCTTCGCCAACCGAACCAAGCACATCGCCCTGCGGTACTTCTTCGTCAAGGATGAAATCGCGAAGGGGA